AGATTGAACGTCTCTATCCCAGGGATATTGTCCTTATCCCTCTTCCGGACGGCTTCCAGCATGGCCTTGACATGCTTTTGGACGTCTGGCCAGCGGGGAGATTGATCTGCACCACAATCAATACGTGATGAGTGCGAAACTAAGGCAACACCTATTTGTTGCCGACCGTCTGAGGATGATGTCTGTTGGGAGTGGGATTTCACCCGTAAAGGCCACCCCAGCTCAAGCGGGGATTCAAAAGGGTTCTTACATTCAGAGCCGGCCAAGCGGGAACCGCTTGCAGGCGTGGTGAACCCCGCGGCTGCTGGTAAGGGGTTGACAAGATCAAGCCACAGGCTGCCGCCTACCTTCTCGAGTCGCCCCGATACCCGTATCGTCTTAGCCCCGGCTGAGGCGCCAGGATTGACGCAGAGGCGGACTTTTTTATTTTGTTGAGAACGGCTGGGGCCTCCTCTCTAGCCCGTTTGAGATTCTTCTCAAATGATTTCCCAACTTCTCCCCCCTGCGAAAATAAACAAGTTAAAGTTAGTATCCAGGCAAGATGGTTTTTAAAATAAACTTAAGAAAGGGTCAGGCGCTCAATACCTTGGCCCTGAGCTCGGCCGCAGCTTTCTCCGCAAGATCTTTGCGGATGGTCGCAGAAGACCGCTTGGGAGTTTTCTCCGACTGCAACATGTTTAGTGCTTCTTCTGCAAAAAGAAAGAAATTGGTAAATATCATAAATCAATTTCTATAGAAAAATACTACAGACGGTATAAACTCAGGCGCATACGTTTGGTAAACATGTGCCCTAGCCTGCAGGCGGCCAGGAAACATTCATCCCTGAACCAGGCGCTCTTGGGAATCCAATTCTTAGGAACTTTTATTATTTCCCCGGTTGACAGAGTTGCGTCTGTGAGGCCGAAAAATTCTGCCTCAATTATTTTGTCAAAGTCTTCCTCTAGGATCCGGGGAAAAGCGCACTTCCTGCCCAACAAGTCAGGCTTCTTATTTTACAGACGGAATTCATAGTTTTCCCGTCTGGTTGGGGCTGACATCAGGTAGAACCTGTGCTTCCAGCCATCAAACTTGGAGACCTTGTCCAAGGTCATCATATATTGCGGCTGCGTGGTTAGAGTGTACCACGCCCTCCAGCCGCCTGGGCTTCTGCTGAGGTAGTGCATGCTTGCAAAAGCCTCCCAGCCGGGGTTAAGCCCCTAGAACTCGCAGGCGGCAACATACCCCAGAATATTGGTCCAGGAGTTGGGGGTAAGTTGCCAGACCCCAAGGCCGTAGCCTCTTAAAATTGCCTTCATCGCCTGGTGAAGGGGGAAGCGAAGGCCAACTTTGAACGCTGCCTCATAACAGCCAAAATAGCTGTTGGCATTCTGTTCATCGTCCTCCCAGACGATGGTGCCATTCTCAGGCGGCACCCGAATCCTATACCCGTCTCCTAGCGGGTGCATTTTTGTAAAGTTCTTTAAGTTCTCTTCCATTTGGATCCGGTCCTTGGAAGAGACGTGGATGTTGAAGGGATCGTCCTTCTCGCTCCACTTTTTCCTTTCTTCCTCTTCGCTATCCGAAAGAGGGGGTAAGTCATCGCTGCTCTCAGAGGTAGAGGCGGAGCTGTCACTCTCCGTCCCCTCCTCACTTTGGTCTAGGGGGGCAGAGACGGCCTCGTCGCCGTCTTGATCGCACTCTTCCAAGAAAGAGTCGGCAGGGGTTGAAGGGGCACGCGGAGGGGATCTTTCCAGAGCCGTCTAGTCTCCCTGACCAGACGTTTCTCCCTCAGGCGTTTGGCCGCCTGAGCCTTCGCTCTTGTAATTTGGGTCCGTGGCCGTCTGCATTGTCCGAGCCATGGTGTCCTGCACAGACACATAACTGGTCAAAATCCATGGCAAAGGGTGGTCCCAACACCCCGAGCCGACACTCCCAGTCCTAGACTCAGCCGTCCCTGGTGACTGGCTGGACTCTAACCTAGGCTGTGCCGTGTGTGTTGGTGATGCATCCATTTATTGCAAGAAACATGTACAAGCGGTGAAAAAAGAAAAGAGCTGAGAGAGACAGAGACGGTACCTTTTGATCTGGTATCTGAAAGTAGGCGGGACCGGCTGGGTTGCTGAAGAGCAAACTTTCTTGCTCGCGTCTGACTCAAACGGATGACTTCTGCTCTCTCAAAGTTTTTCTCTCTAGGAAATTTTTGTAAACGTACAAAATTATGAGGGTAAAACGGCTATATATAGAGGGTAAATTTGGGGGCATTTTCGTCCTTTACCCGGAAGGTGAACGGTTACTCTGTAACGGTAAAATTACCGCCAACCGGAGCGTGACATGTGTCACAGATGCCACGTGGTGTGCCACGTCACATCTGTGAGGGGCAAATGTTTAGGGTATTTTACCCTGCCACGTGGCCCAATCAGAGGGTGACACGTGTCAGTTGGTCCAAAATGGACCAATCCCTGTTTGACACGTGTCATTCCAGAAATAAAGGGGAAAAGACGGCCTTCAGGCCCAAATCCTGAGAACGCCGGAAAACGGCGCAGCCCACCAATGATTAGGGTTCAGTGACCTAATCAGGGGCAATTCCCAAAGACCCTATAAATAGGGAGATGTCCCTCATTTTGAGGACAAGTTTTACCATTTAATATACCTGCATTCTCTTACATCAGAGAAACACCTGAGCTTGGAATCCGAGCAGATACCCACCTAAATTTCCGTACTCTTTATTCCTTTTCAAGTTACTAACTTGACCGTCAGAGGCGGAGCTCCAACCACCCGGAGTATCCGTTATTGTGCAGGTGCAGCTCAAGCCGGATCAGTCTTCGTGACGTAACTCTCCCGAGGGAAAAAAAACACCCAAAACAGAGGTGGTCGGGTTTTCAACTTTTCGTGATTGGTGGAGATGGTTGTGTTTCGTGGCTGGGTATAGGGAGTTTTTCTGGCAGTTTAATTGGTTTCGGGTGATGGGGTGGATTCAAGGGGTGAAATTCACTGGGTTTTGGGGTGGTTGTGGCGGTTGTGCGTGCTGTGGGGTTAACAGCAGTGGCTGTGATGGTGGTTCTGTGGTATGGGGGGTCATTATAAGTCACGTGCCCATGTCAACGCTAGAGTTTATGGTAAATGTCGGAATGTTGAGCCGGGTGGTCATTGACAACAAAAATTTAAATTTGGGTGGTGTTGGGCAACAAATTTTAAGTGGGTGGTTTTTGACAAAAAAATATTTTTAGCGGGTGGTTTTCAACAAAATTTCCTAATTAAAATAGATATAAAAAAAACCATATAATCCCAACCCCCCCCCCCCCGCCAGCGGCCGACGACCAGCTCTCTTTATGATGGCGCGACCTTAGCCCCTCTCTTTCCCCCAACCTGCAAGCCCATTCTCGTTCCTCCACCCTCCCCACTTTCCTGGAGACGACTGGAGCATGGGGCTCAGTCAAGTAGATCAAGTTGCGCTGACTAATGCTCCAATCGAAATCAAATCTGTTGGGTTCAGGGTTTTGGGGTGACGTTTTTTGGTGGGGACGGGAAATGGGGGTCGTTTCATTGTTTATAATTAAAGGGACATGGGGGAATAGGTGGTGTTGGAATTGGGGTGGCGAAAGTGGAAATGGGAAAAATAGAGGGATAGGCTGTCGTGGGTGGGTTGGCCGACGCCGGGAAATGATAACGGCTCGCGTGCTGGTCGTCGGCTGGCAGGAGGAAGGGGCTCGTGGTGGTCAGTTGGGGACAGGAAAGATGGTGGGGGCTGTGCTTTTTTTTTTTTTTTTTTTTTATTTTTAAAGTTTTTATAATTTGTTTATTTAATACAATTTTAGTTAAACGTTTACTTAAATTTAACAAATTACTTTTAATGTAAAAACTGACATGTTTGGTAGGTTGTAGTTCATTTGACCTGTTATAAGCAAATACCCCTTAAAAGTCGTTTTTATTTTGAGTTAATTAAAAAGTTAGCTTATTTTAAGCTAACCACACAAAGAGTAACTTATTCTTGACAAAATTTTCAAAAAAAAAAAATAATATCAAATAATATAACTATACATAAATTAACAATTTTGCTGCCATTTGATTGTTTCTTCAAATAATATTTTCCCAACTATAAGACCATTGTTTTTGTTATTTTGGGAAATAAAATGATGATTTAAGTATGGAAGTAAATTTAGGGGGGTGTTAAATACCACCATCTAAAATGATCAAAACCGCCAACATTTAGTGTGAATTGACAACTATACCCTTAGTACTTCACCACTATCTTCCCTCATGCCACCAATCACAAACACCTTGACACCGCCACCCCAATTGATGACTAACACCACTACCACACTGACCGGCGATAACGACCACCACCACAACCACCCTGACCGGCGACCCACCACATCCCCCTCAAAGATGACCCACCACCTTCCCTCTTTGGCGGAAAGGTGGTGTTTTTTTTGACAACCGTACCAACCGGAGCTCAAAACCGGTTACCGGGCACGATAACCGGTTTTGGGCTCCGGTTACCATGGAATCGGTTAAGGTGCACGGTAACCGACGCCCAAAACCGGTTACCGTGCGTGGTAACCGGAGCCCAAAACCGGTTACCGTGCGCGATAACCAGAACCCAAAATCGGTTACCGTGCACGGTAACCGGTTTTGGGCTTCGGTTACCGCGATTGCCTGAAATAAAAAAATATATTAAACCACCACCTTCCTGGCGGCGAGGGAAGGTGATGGGTCGTCATAGAGGAGGGTATGGTGGGTCGTCGATCAGGGTGGTGGTGGTCATCGCCAATCAGAAGGAGTTGTGGGTCGCCGGGAGGATAAGGGGTGGTTAAGTAATAAGGGTACGTTTATCCATTCACATCGAATGTTGGCGGTGATGATCATTTTTGTTGGCAGTGTTTAGCAATTCACTTTAAGGAAGTTAAAGTTTATTTTAAAAAATATCCTATAATAATCATCTTCTTTAACATTTTTTTCTAGAAATTAATCATTACTAGCCATTAACTTAAATTTGGTAATTCACATCAGGTTATTCACCATATTTTAAATCAGAGGCTTAATAAGATGCCAAAAGCTCAAACTGCATACTAAAAGCAATTCTTACAAAATACGAAGTACTATGTATCTAATGATATGTCATAGGTGCGTAAACACACAAAATTCAGGATCTAATCTATTGAAATCTTGCAATCTCATTGTGAAAATGAATTTCACACATTTTTCAACAAATTACAACCAGTATCAAGCTTCACTATCAGTCTTCCTCTTTGACTTCTTTCGATGTGATAGCTCTGAGGAGCCTGAAACTGTGACATCACTTCGACCTCGACCCGAGTCTTGAGCAGATTGATTGCTGTATCTTGATGGCTCAGCATGGGTTCTTTTAGAAAATTCCGATGCATCAGTGACTTCAGACCGAGAACTTCTTTTGCTCGTAGATCGGCTTCTACTTTGTGAGTGTGGAGTTCTCTGACTCCTAGAAGGAGTCGAAAAGTAATGAGAAGAGGTTGTCATTGAAGTCCTAGAGCTCATCGGTCCTTGGTTTTTCGTTTCATTTTCAAGGGCTAGCTCATTTGGATCTGGAAAATGAACCAGCGAGACATGCCTTGAAATCTTCCCAGCTGACAGGAAAACAGATACAGATTAAGCAGAGAAAACATATGGGGTGGCTCCTCACCCCAACTAGATTGATGTTTGAGAATAAAATTGTTGTATAGCAATGTTCTTAACTTCCAGCTGATAAGCTAAAAGGTTTATTTATAGTTATAGCATCAATATTTATCTCTTTACAAATAAGATGAATTAGAAGTACTTTCCAACAAAAGTAATGAGCTAATAAGCAAAGTTTTCCTCTGTTTATGAGTTTCTACAATACAACTGATCTTATCATTTAGAGGTGTTATTTCTTGTTCTCTTTTATCAAAAATTTTCAATAATTGAATCTTGAGATGAAAATTTCAGACATACCAACTTTTGGCCCAGATGGAGAGGATAGGAAGACTGTAACATCATTCGTCTCAGAGGGATAGTTGACCAAATTATAAACTTTACCTGGACCAAACAAACAACCATCAAGAGGTAGCTAGGGTAGCATATGAAATTTATTCTGTTTTAGCTTTGACAGGGTTAGCGAAAAATACCAGATTTTCCTTCAAGACTACCCAAATGTCCATCTCCATCGAGATTCAGTGACACAGTTTGCCCATCAAAATCAGGAAACTATACAAACAACAAACAGCCTGTTAGAAAAAGACAATCCATTGTGCAACCCATATTCAATTTGACCCAAACATAAATAAAATAAAAAATAAATAAAGTAGAAATAACAAGAAGAAGTAGAAACAACAATCATAGATTCATAGCACTATTTGCCTCACACATATTACTTTTACTAACATTTACTTAGTACTCCCTCCATTCCATCATAAGTTATGATAATATACCAAGTATATAAAAGAAGAAACGCTAGCATGTGGAATCTTGCTAGATTCGTCTCAATGTAAAATTCTGAAATGTCAGCTTTTCATTTCTACCACACACATTATTATAGATATCAAATGGTCAAAGACAGGCACTAAAGATAGTGCAAGCCAAGTGAAAAGAACAGTGAGCAGCAATTGGTTTACTCAAAGTTATAGTGTATAGGCAACAAACAAATGTGGAAACAGAATATGATCACTTGTTTAGAGAAACGGCTGACTTAAAGAATGAAAATCCCAATCTATAACAGATTGTACAGCTTTGCAAATAGCTTAAAAAGACTATACTCATCATTAACGGCCTTCCTGCTAGAAATCCCATTCTACATTGCACAAGTGGACTGCAGAAACTATATTCATCTTGGTTTCTTCAACAAAAAATTATTCATCTTGGTGAAAGACACTTATTTTCATCTTGGTTTCTTCAACAAAAAAAAGCACTAGCGTACTGATTTATTATTGTACAGATCTTGGGCATATTGTACCTTGGTTACATGCCCAATTCCCAATCAGGTGTCAAAGAATTCAGGAAATAGCAGTGAATACTCAATGAGGCTGATAAAGATGAAGGATCATATCATGGCAGCATTTAATATGTGATAAGGTGGCTAAATGCTTTCCCATCCTCCCTCTCTTTACCTTCACTATACTTCTCAGTTTAGAGAAATTCTCAGTTTAAAAATATTAGAAGATCTGAAGAAGATGAGCCTAAGAGACAATAAAACTGAATCTATGACAATAATTAGAAGAGATTGATCTACAACCACATTGCACGAGTAAAAAGAAGACATTCACAACTGAAATCCTGCAAACAAAAATGGCTTAAGAGTGTAATATATGTATTAAGCCGACCAGAAAAGTCTTAACAAGTTCCAATAAATAACCTTCACCATAAGGGGTGCTCAAATTTGACAGAAAGGTATAGTCTGATACATTCTAGTCATGCAGGTAATGCACTTATGCCGAGTTTCCATGTGGGAATCAAGTTTCACTCGAAAATGCATACTCTATTGAAGCTGATATTGGGAGAATCAAATAAATACTCATTACAAAGATTACTCAATGATACAAGTGAATAAACCTAACAGTCAGGTTTCTAAGAAGTGGTCAAGCTCCAAAAATCCAGCCTTAACTATTTCAAACCATATATACTCCTAATGAAGTCTTATAAACAAAAAGATAATGACATAAATGGCTTCAAGCTCAAAAAGCAGCCAAGGGTACCACAGTAAAAAAGTACATAAACCCAAGAGATCAATCAATCAAGTCTCACACCAAACATAACAAATCATTTACTCTAAAAGTACTCTTTATGTCCCTATTTGTTTGCACCATTTTAAAACGTACATATCTTCAACCCACTTATGCAAAATTTATAAAAACGCGATGTTCTAAAAGTAGACATTGAAATGAATCCAACAAGAGACTACTTCTTATATAAAGTTGTAAACTTTTTACTCACAAAAATGCAACAAGGCAAACAAATACGGATAGAGGGCTTACTTTCCTACACATTACTATTAAGACAATATTAACATGGCATCTCTAATTTTTGAAAAATAATAATCAAAATTAAACAACAAAGTAAAAAAATTCACACGAGAAAAAAAAAAATCAAAATAGTTTAATTGAGAAGAGAAGAAGATTACTTGATCATCAGGCAACTGAATAAGCCAAAGTTCAGTATCTTCGTTCATCTCAATATCAATTAGAGATTCCTTGTTATCTTCCTTATAATCAGGTCCAGGAACATAACCCTTTTCCTTCACTTCTGATTTGTCTTCCATTATTATAAATTAAATCCTGCAAAACATTTTTACAAAAATTTGACTCAATTTTCAAATAAGGCTAGAAAAATCTCTCTAAATTCTTCTCGCTTAAGAATACGAATGTCAGAATTCTAACAACATTAGGGTTGTTCAATACATTAGCAACAAAATTTGATTCGAAAAATCACATAATTTTAAGATTCAATAATAAAATTAGGCTCATAATTCTCTTTTCATTTGGTTATCTTGGAATTTAGAAGCGATAGTTGAGATTTTCGAACGCTACACTTAATTAAATTAGATTAAACCCTAGATTGTGAAATTGAAATGATGATAACAAAAACAAACAACTTACTAAAGCTGCTTCAATGGGGATACTAGTATTAGATAAACAGAGAACGTCGACTGCGCTTCAATGGAGAACGTTGAGAAAGAGGTAGAGGCGTATGAACCGCCACAGTCATAAATGGGTTAAAAAGCTCGCAAGTATGCTTTAATGGAGAATTCAGAGTACTCTTCGGTGGAAGGGGAGGGGAAAGGGTGAAGCGGCGCAAAACACTATAAGGGGAAAAACTTAGACGTAGGATGATTTCAATTTTCAAGTAGTATTACATTAATTGTTGTATTTTTTTTTTTGTTTTTTTAAATTTTGTGTGTGTTTTTAGGAGCAAATACAAGTTTTATCCCCTTGAAAAATGTTCTTTGTTTATCAAGTGACATTCTTGTAATTAAATGGCACAAAATAACAATAAACAATTGGATTACACTAAGGTGTTTCACTTTTTCTGACAATCCATATGCAAGTTGCACTTGACGAACCATCAAATGATTTTGCTCAATACCGTTAGGAGTTAACCCAAGTTCATCAGCTCATTTTATTTTTTGTTTTCTCATACTTACTCAAGTAGAGTTAGGTACTTGTCTTCTTCAACTTCAGAGTACTTTTCCTTTTCTTTTTGGAAAATTTGCCCAAAATAACACGAACTTTGGCCGGTTCGCCAATAATAACACCACCTTTGAGTTATCCCAAAATAACACCAACTTTGGGGGGCGTCTTCCAAAAATGGTACAAAAAAAATGGTAACCGGATTTAGGAGGTAATATTGCTGACGTGTGTTATGTTTTTGCCAGGTTGTGCGTTGCTTCCCCTTAACCATCCAACGTGTAATTAAATTTTACACACCTAACTCCTGTCTCCCTCTTTAATTCATTTCCCTCCATATTTCACTCTCTTTCTTCGTCTTCCAACCATTTTATCAGAGAATCTCAGAGCATATTCAATTCCTCATTTCGTCATTTCCCTTTGAAATAATCAGAACTCAATTCCGAAATTCTACTGCTCCCAAAGAAAATTGCATTGAAGTGAAGTGAAGAGAAGAGTGAAAAAGTTGTGATCTTTGGTTCCCAAAATGCCCAGAAAGACGAAGAAGAAAGGTTCGTGTTTTTTTACTTTCTTTGTTTTGTTTGAATTATGATTGTTGGGTGGATTTTATGTGTTCTAATTTGAATATGGATGTTCGTATGTTTAATTATGTTGTTAATTGTTAAAGTAGGTTTAATAATTAGGTTGATTTGTATGGTGAATTATGTTGTTCACTCGATAAATTTTCTTGTTAATTGCTGAATTAGGGTTAATTACTTGAGTGTTTGTTTGGAATCTAATTGAGTTGTTTAATTCTAGGGTCTGCTGCAAATACTCATGTTTTTGATAATGTGACTGTTCGATTCTGGTATGGGGGTCAATTTAAGCATGTTCGTAATGGTGAAATGGTGTATAAGGGTGGGAGTTGTAGTAACTTTGATGTTGACCCAGATGAACTTTGTTACTGGGACTTAAGGGATTATGGTAGTAAGTGTGGGCTTGCTCATGTGGATGCTTTGTTTTACCAAATGCCTGGGTTAAATATTGAGAAAGGTTTGAGAAAAATTCAAGGGGATGCTGAGGTGTTAGAGATGGGTAAGTTAGCTGTTGTAAATAGGAGTATTGTTGTGTATGCAGTTCAGTTTGAGAGAAAAGTGGGAGAAGGTTCAAATGCTGAAGTTGTGGAAGTTGATGTGGGCAACACAAGTCAGAAAAGTACTTTGTTGAATTCTGACCCCAAAGTTACCATATCCAAAACAACAGGCAAGGTACTTGAGAAACCCCCACCCAAACTGAACAAAAGAAAAAAAATTGACCCCAAGGAAGGGACCACAAACACAGGTGGTGAAACCCTCATTGACTGAAGAAGATGCTTCCACTTCACCTATAAAAGCATCTACCACATCACCCAAAAAAGCATCTGTAACTTTACTAGAAAAAACATCTGACCTTCCCTACAAAAAAACAAAAAAAACTGACCCAACAACCTCATTTATTCCCCACCAACCAGCAACTCAAAAAGAACAGACTCAACCCCACTTGAAAATCACGTCAGAAACTCAACCCTTCACTCAAAACCAGTCTCTTCATCTTTCTCAATTCCCATCCTTAGAGTTTGTTTCTACTGGTGAGTTGCCTGAGGTTAACACAGATTTCAATGAGGAATTTGAGTGGGAGGATGACAGACCAGAGAGCCCTTTGAAATGGAATGAATTAGTTGCTGATGATGAGTCTAGTGATGAGAGTGATCCATTATATGATCATGAGTATCAGAAGTTTTGTGAGGGTGGGGAGTTTGAAGATGATGATGAAGATGATTTTCTGTTTGAGGTAGATGAGAGCATAGAGAAAGAGAAGGAAGGTGATTTTAGTCTATCTGACATAGATCTAGAAGGTGAAGGTGAAGATCTAGAACAGACTGATTTCTTTGAAGATTAATCTGATGACAGTGATGATGAGATTATTGAAGCAAGGGATAGAGTAAAGAGGGTTAATACAAAGTTACTTGAGATAGTGAAGGGATTGCAAGAAAAAGTTTGTAAGGAGAAGGAGAAGGAAAAGGCAGTTGATGAGGAGAGGGAGTTTGAAGTTGATGAAGAGAGGGAGAACTCAGTTCATGAAGAGGTTGCAAGGGATGTAAACCTAAGTGACTGTGATGAAGATAATGACATTGATACACCACCTGGTAGTAGTGATGAATTAGAAGGGAAAAAGGGAGAGTTAGTGAGCCATGAAACTGATTTCAGTAAGTTTCATTGGAAGGTTGGTCAGAGGTTTGCTAATGCCAGTGACATTAAGGATGCTGTCACTAAGTATGCTGTATTACAGGGTAGAGATCTAAAGTATAGTGTGATCTGGAAAAACAGACAAAGGTTGGGAGTGAAATGTGTTGGTGAATGTCCATTTTATTTATATTTTTCTGTGCATTCTAGAGATGCAACTTGGCTAGTGAAGAGAGTAGTTGGAAATCACACATGCCATAGGAACATGAATAGTAACAGGCAGTTGAAGTCCAGTTGGGTGGCTAGGCAGTTGCTTGATGTGTTCAAAGCTAGGCCACATTGGCCAGCTAAGGAGATTGTAGACACTGTAAGGAGGTCTTACAGAATGATTGTCAGTAGAGATTTTGCTTACAAAGTAAAATACCATGCACACAAGATGTTACATGGCTCTATGAAAGAGCATTATATGAAGGTGGAGAGGTACTTGAAGGCATTGAAGGAAGCAAGTCCTGAAACAGTGTTGGAGTTGGTAGTTGCTCCACAACCTCAGAGTTCTACCCCAATGTTTAGTAGGATGTTCACTTGCTTTGATGGAGTTAAGCAAGGGTGGACAACAGGGTGTAGGAGAGTGATATGTGTGGATGCTGCATTTTTGAAGACATTTCTTGGGGGTCAGATATTGACTGCTGTTTCCAGGGATCCCAATGAACAGATGTTCCCCATTTGTTGGGCTGTTGTGGAAGGGGAGAACAATCTGTCTTGGGAATGGTTCTTTAACCACTTAAAGAATTGCCTAGATCTTGGACAAGGAGAAGGGATAGCTATTATTTTAGATGAGCATCAGGTATAAGTCATTAATTTGTGTAATATGTTATCTCATTTAATGATGATGATGATTGATGATGATTGACATTAACTGGTTCTTTTTTTTTGGTACACAGGCTATCTTACATGCTATAAGTGTTGTTCTTCCTAAGGCTGAACATAGGCACTGTGCAAGGCATATTTTTGCCCTCTGGCACAGAACCTACAAGGGAGATGAGATGAAGCTTTTGTTTTGGAAGATAGCAAAGGCCTATAACCAGGCTGATTTCAATGAAGCAATGGATGAGTTGAGACAGATTGATGAAGAGGCTGCCCTTGCAATAACAAGGTATAATCCTCAGTTCTTCTGTAGGGCATTCTTACAGGAAGGCATCAAATCTGAGGCCATTACTAACAATATGGCTGAAACATTTAATGCTTATATCATTAATGCTAGGACTAAACACATAATTTACATGTTAGAGGAAATTAGAGTTGCATTGATGCAGAGGTTAGTCAAAAAAAGACATGAGATGGAAAAATGGACCTCTTTGCTATGCCCTAGGATACAAGCTAGGTTAGAAAAGGAGAAAGAGAAAGCTGCTGATTGTGAAGTCTTGCCTTCTTCTGTGAGTCAGTTTAATGTTAGGTATTATTTGGATCCGTTGAATGTAGATTTAGTTGCTAGAACTTGTAGTTGTAGAAAATGGAATATGGTAGGCATTCCTTGCTGTCATGCCATAGCTTGCATTTATTTTGTGAACCAAGAACCTGAGGTATTTGTTGATGAATGTTACAAAGTTGAGACTTATAAGAAGGCCTACAGTGGTTGTATACCTCCATGTGAAGGTGAGAGGTATTGGCCAAGATGTCCATGCAATTTGGACCCCCCTCCTATCAAGATAGGTCCTGGTAGGCCAAGAAGGAACAGAATTAAGCACCCTCTTGAGAATCCTAAGAAGCCAGGGTCATTGAGTAGGGCAGGAGTAGAAATGACTTGTAGCATATGCAAGAAGAAGGGTCATAACAAGAGAGGCTGCAAAGACAAGGATTCTGTTGTCCCTGATGAACCAGCACCCAAAAGACCCAAGGGAAGACCAAGAAAGACTGCCCCATCTACTGATGTAACCTCACATGCCCCATCTACACAAGCAACCCCAACACCCACCCTGACACAGACTGCATCATCTTCAACTCCTGCAACACAATCTGCCCACCATACTGCTACCGCACAGCCAACTCAACTAGGCAGGGGTGGAAGAATGATACTTGGAGGTCAAGGTGCTAGAAGTGTCAGTCAAAGCAGCACCAGAGGAAGAAGCTCGGCTGGTAGAGGGTCTACAACTACAAGTAGGGGAAGAGCACAACCATCAGGAATTGGGATAATGTTTGCTGATGATGGAAGCCCAATTGTTATAGTAAGAATTAGTACTCCCCCTTTCATTTTTGTGTTTCCTTTTTTTTTTTTTTTTGGAAAATAAGCGAATAACTTTGTAATTTGTGTGGCAGGCACCAAGTACCAGACCAAACACAAGATCTATCTCCCAGATGCAGCAGTGATCAAGTGAAGATCTTATGTGCCCCATTTCTTTTGTACTTACTAAGTATGCTTTTGGTCTAAGTGTGTAATTTGTCAAACAATTTAGTTGTTAAACAATGTTAGAGATCTTATGTAATTAAGTATTGGAAACAGTTGCAGGTATTTTGGAAACAGTTGCATGCATTATTGAAACATTTGCAGGCATTATAACAGTTCTGCCTTTGTCTTTTGATATTGCTGTGGTTATGTTTTTCAATTTGTGCAAATAATTTGTGGTCTTTTGATATTGCTCTGGTTTTGTTTAATTTTCATTTTGTGCAAATAATTTGGGAAATTTGTGGTCTTTTGATCTAGCTCTGGTATGTCAATTGTACACTGCTATTGCAATTATGATGAAAATCAATTAAGTACAAAATACAACATCAAACATTACTCATTAAAAATTCAATTAAGCATCCATTAATCAATTACACAGATTGCTTTTTATTTCCACATAAAACATTCAACATACATCCTCATTTCTTCCTTAATCAATAAAGGAAGATTACAACACCAAACAACAACCAAGAAAACAACAATGCTAAGTACAACGTTTTTTCATTCCTACCACACTTCATTAACTCAATCTTCATTGCAACTATTTCATTCTTCAACCCTATGATGTCTTCCTCCAATTTTCCTTTCTTTAATTGCAATTTCTTTATTTTCTCGTGTGCGATTTTTTGTTCAACCTGTAACTCACCAATTATGGTTTCCTTTTCCAACAACTTCACTTCATAATCTTCCATCTCAGCCTGCTCATTCACCCACTTGAAAAAATCACATTGAGTGTCCTGCATCCAGTAAATATGAACAATAAACAACACCAAATTAGGGTAATTACAATTACATATCCCCAAATTACAATAAACAAAAAAAGATGCAATAAACATAGGGCAATCAATCACAACTTACTGGCCACATAGGGCAGCCGTAGAACTTCATCCCCAAATTAGGGCCTTTTCTCACAGTTTTAATCAAAGCTTCATTCCCACAATTGCAACGAATTTTCGAATTACCCATCCTTTTTATGCTAGAGGATGAACATGATTGGTTCGAAATTGACCTTCTTGTAGCCATTGATTAATTTTTTAAGAGCACTAAAATTGATACAACACGAACGATTAAAGAGAAATGAAGAGCAGAGGAAAACAAAGAACTTGAAGATGAAGAAGGAGCAACAAATTAAGAGAGAGGAAAACAAAGAAACAGAGGAAGAAGATGGAGCAACGACTACTGAGAGAGGAACAACAGAGAATGAAGAAGAAGGAAGAATAAAGGGCTTGACATTTTTTTCTAACGGTTATAAAGAAGAAGAAAGAACACGTTGGATGGTTAAGGGGAAGCAACGCACAACCTGGCAAAAACATAACACACGTCAGCAATATTACCTCCTAAATCCGGTTACCATTTTTTTTGTATCATTTTTGGTAGACACCCCCCAAAGTTGGTGTTATTTTGGGATAACTCAAAGGTGGTGTTATTATTGGCGAACCGGCCAAAGTTCGTGTTATTTTGGGCAAATTTTCCTTTCTTTTTTTAGTTGCTTTGAATCTTGAACTCTGGCTATGATCTTTACCATTTGCCATATTTAACCCCAAAAACAGTACTACACTTCCTTCTCTCTCCTCTACAAATCCACTCTTCTTCTTCCTTTAGATCGACCCCACCATTCCTACTGTATTCAACCCACCTCACAACCACTAGCTAACGATGACCACGATAACGACGATTAACCACCACCCTCTTTATCATACCTTCCCCTAAAGGGTTGATATGGCCCCACTTTACATATTTTGCTACCATGCTGTCTTAATGTTCGGTCCGCCGGTATCGCCGCGAAGCGGCGAAGGTAGTTGTTGTGGCCATGGGAGGGAATGAGAGGAGAAGAGCATCCCACCTTCTTCACTCTGGCTGCCGCACCACCTACCAGAAAAGTCAATTCGAGTTGCACTGAACTCTAAGGATGTAAAAGTAACACCGTACCAACAAACCATAGTTAAGGTTTGTTCTATAAAATCCTTACTTTCTACGCAAAAAGACAATTATAGCCCTAGATAAACAACCCAAGTTTACACTTTTTAAGTGACAAAATTTTTAAAACATGGCAACTTTTCTTAAATTATTATCGAGTTGAGTCAGAGCTTGCTCAACTCGTGCTCGTTAACTAATAACATGATACTACTCTCTACACTAAGATTAATAAGGACATAAAGTCATAGATTATAAGACAAAGCTTAAAACATTTAAATAACGCAAATAAAAGAGTAAAGAGATAAATTCTCATTTGGGGAGGGGGGGGGGGGGGTTGGAAGAAGCATAAAATTTGAATATCCAAAATCCATGAATTCCATTATGTGTCTCACTTTTTCTCTCTAAACATTTAGACTTTCTCGCTCTGAAAACCTAAAAGTAATTCAAAAACTATAGAAAGGATGAAGATTTTTTCTAATAGGAATAAAATAAACTATTTATACTCCACTAATTTGCCTAGGAAGCTCCATTGAAAAGTCGAACAATGGTAGTTGGCACTCCATATATAGCTTGGCAAGGGTGCTCCTCACACTAGCAAAGGCGTAATAGATTGCTTTAGAAAATTTGGAGTAGGTGCTCCTTGTAGCTTGTGTAAGCCCTCTTAATTGTAATACCCGAATATTTTATGATTTTACATATTATATTTTATAAAAATATAGTTAATTTTTATTTATTATATAACTTTCCTAATCTCATATTTTTATTTTAGAGTTTGGAAAGGTTTAAGGAAAATTTGTCAAAAATAACACCACCTTTAAGTGGTCTTCCAGGAATAACACCGCCTTTTGATTATTTTAGAATAACACCACCTTTCATGTCATTCTTCCCTAAATGGTACAAATAAATGGGTAACCGGTTTTTGCAGGTTAAAGTGCTGACGTGGCTTGTTTTTGGGGTAAAGTCAAGCATTGACTTCAATTAACCCTCCCCTAAGCCTACGTGTAATTAATTTCTCCAACCACCCTCTGTTTCCCTCTTAATTTCATTTCCCTCTCAATTTCACTCTCTCTCCATGTCCTTTCTCTGAAGTACGGAAGCAAGAAAATTGAATTGCAGATCAAATTAATTGCGGAAAGGAACTCCATTGATTGAGTACGATTGTGGTGCAAATTGAAGGAAGAAAAGTTTCGATCTTTTGTGGAAATGCCTAAAAAAAGGGTACGTTTTGGTTGCTAAAACTCTGTGAAATTGATTGTGATTGTTTGAATTAGGAAATTCGTGCATTTATATTTCAATTTAAAGTGATTTGTCATGTAATTTAGTTAGTTTACTTGATTATAATTATGCTGGGTAATTATTGGAGTTAAGGGGGTTAGGAAATTTGTAAGGAATGCTTGTTGTGATGACTGCTTTTTTATTAGTTATGTTATTGGTAATTGATTAGGGTTTTGGTGAAGTATTGTTGTGATGAATGTATTGTTGTTTGTAGCCTAATTGTGCTGTGTAATTATAGGTTGCAAAGAGTAAACAATTTGACAGTTTGACTGTCAAATTCTGGCATGGGGGTGAGTTTGAATTGGGTAAGAATGGTGAATTGGAGTATAATGGTGGTGAGTGTACTAATTTTGTTATAGACCCAGATGAACTCTGTTATTGGGAGTTGCTTGAGTTTGGCAAGCAAAGTGGACTTGATTGGGTAAATCAGTTGTTTTATCAAATACCTGGAATGAATGTGGATAAAGGTTTGAGAGTAATACATGGAGATTCAAAGTGTAGAGTGATGAGTGAGTTAGGTGTTAAACATAGGGGTATTGTTGTGTATGCAGTGCAGTATGATTATGACACCCTTCATGCACATGTCCAACCTAGTCAGATTGAGGATACACAACCTGTTGAAAATGAAAGTGATGTTAGCAGATCACCTCAATCCAAAATAGAAGACAAACCACTTGATATCCCCCCACCTAAAGTGAACAAAAGGAAAAAAATGACACCTAATAAGGGACCACAGACAAAGTTGGTCACTTCCCCAAATACTAGTCATGGTCAAAAGAAAGATTCTGCCACATCATCACCAAAAGCATCCACCACATCAGCATTTAAAAAAGCTTCCTACCTTCCCCAAAAACCACCTACATCTTCATCAAAACACACTGACCCAACCACCACAATTAAACCAGCAGAAACTGAACCCCCCTTACCCTCTTCTCAATTTCCTAGCTTTAGCTAAAATGAGTTTCCAAACCTTTCTCAATTCTCATCCGTAGAGTTTGTGTCAACTGCTGAGTTACCTAATGTTGACACAAATTTTGTGCATGACTATGATTGGGAAGATAGTAGGCCAGACAGCCCTTTGAGATGGAATGATCTAATAGGTTTTGATGGTGAGTCTAGTGATGATGGAGATCCAACATACGAGCCTGGGGATGAGGGAGAAGGTGGTGGAGACAAAGAAGAGGAGGGTTTAGAAGATGAAGGTGCTTTTATAGTGGGTCTTGAAGATCTAGATGCTGAGGCAGCTGAAGATCTAGAAGATTTTCAATACATTGAAGCAGAAACTGATGAGAGTGATGATGAGCTAAGGGAAGCAAGGAATAGAGTGAAGGATTGCAACTCTAGGATACTTCAAGTAGCTGAAAAATTGGAAAAAGAAGTCTGTGAGGGGAAGGTTGCTGATGAAAGTGGTGTTGGCAAAGCAGAAGCAGCAGAAGGAGGTTAGAGAAGTGACTGTGATGAGGATGAAGACATTGACACCCCAACTGGTAGTGATGATGAGGTAGATGGTGTTAAGGGAGAGTTAGTGAGGCCTGATGGTGATTTCAGCAAGTTTAAATGGAAGGTAGGTCAAAGGTTTGCAAATAGTTCAGACTTTAAGTATGTTATAACTAAGTATGCAGTCATGCAAGGGAGGGATTTGAAATACACTGTTAGTTGGAAAGGCAAGCGGAGGTTGGGTGTGAAATGTGTTGGAGATTGCCCCTTTTATGTGTACTGTTCCATGCATTCAAGGGATTCAACATGGATGGTGAAGACTGCAATTGATTCACATACATGCCATAGGAATATGAGTAAGAATAGGCAACTCAAAACCACTTGGGTGTCAAGTCCGTTGCTAGAGGTTTTTAGAGCTAGGCCACATTGGCCAGCTAAAGTGATTGTGGAAACTGTAAGAAGAGCTTACAAAATGATTGTGTCTAGAGACTTTGCATACAAAGTCAAGTATAGGGCTCACAGAATGTTGCATGGATCTATGAAAGAGCATTACATGAAGGTTGAGAGGTACTTGAAGGCATTGCAAACTGAGAGTCCAGAGACTGTGTTGGAGTTGGTAGTTGCTCCACAACCCCCCAATGTTTCAAAGACTCTTTACATGTTTTGATGGTGTTAAAGAGGGTTGGAAAACAGGATGTAGGAGAGTGATATGTGTTGATGCAGCTTTTCTAAAGACTTTCTTAGGGGGTCAGATTTTGAGTGCTGTTTCTGGGGACCCTAATGAGCAAATGTATCCTATTTGTTGGGCTGTGGTGGAGGGAGAGAACAACCTTTCATGGGAATGCTTCTTCAACCACCTCAAATCTTGCTTGGACCTAGGAGATGGTGAAGGCATTGCTGTGATTTCTGATGAGCATCAGGTAAAAGTTTCTGCTTATCTCCTTTACTTGGTATTTGATTTCAATGGTAAATGTTATGCTCATTTTTTGGTGTGGTTTTGTTGTTACTGTAGGCTATACTAAGTGCAGTTGCTGTAGTGCTCCCAAAGGCAGAACATAGGCACTGTGCCAGGCATATTTATGCCCTATGGCACAGGACTTATAAAGGAGATGAGATGAAGCTGTAGTTTTGGAAGGTAGCCAAATGCTATAATGAAGCTGATTTCAATGAGGCAATAGAAGAATTGAGTGAAATGAATCCAGAAGCTGCTCTTGCATTTAAGAGGTATAATCCTAGCTTCTTTTGTAGAGCATTCATGAAGCCATGCATAAAAACTGATGCTATCACAAACAATATGGCAGAAACATTCAATGCTTACATCATTAATGCTAGGACTAAGCACTTAATTTTCATGTTAGAGGATATTAGGGTAGCATTGATGCAGAGGTTAGTGAAAAAAAAGACAAGAAATGGAAAAATGGACCTCTGTAA